TGTGTGTGTGTGTGTGTGTACATTTACCTGAGTCTAGCCTCGAGCAGAGTGTCTGCAGAATTCACCCCTGACAGAGACCATGGTGCGTTCAGTTGTCTCATCTCAGTCAGGAAACTCTCCACTTCATCTTTATCACTGATGTCACACAGCAGGTTTATTTGTTTCATTTCATTAACCAAAGCAATTTAAAGTGATTAACAGTAAGTCGCATCAAAAACAATGTTGCTGTTTGATAAAATGTGTGAGCAGAGTGTGTTTTGATATCTTGAAGAATCATGAGGGGATTTCTTTGGCGGAAGTTTGCAGTTCTTCCAGATTTACATTTTATGAGACTTTTGACTTCTCAGCAGTGTGTGTGAGACTGAAGAGATGTTTTACCTGACGGGAAGTGCCGTGGTGAGATGGAGCAGGGCCAACAGCAGGAACGCCTGAGTCAGACTGACGGAAGACATCACGAAGGTGGTGAAGGTTTGAGGATTTCCTAAAGAGACAAGTAAATATGATCTCTCTGTGTTTAGTTAGGTCCTTTTAAATGTACTAAAGATAAATTGCAACACTACAGCATGAAGGTGGCATAACCGCTTTCCACTGAACAAGCTGTCTGTCTGTCTGAGATCAATAAAACACTCAATCAAAAACACACTTTTCTCAGATAAAACAAAGGTTCAAATTAAAAACTACGTCTCCAGACTCACCTGAACAGATGTTGCACAGCACCTGCAGACTGAGTGTCAGGTACCACGTCGTCTCCTTTTCTACTCCCTCAGGTATCGACCCTGTGACAGACCTCCTTGTGACTTTATTGCTTTGAGTATTTACGGTGTCAACATGCTCAGTTCGGAGTCAGACCTTCCAGCCGCTTTGTTGGTTTGTTCACTTCCTGAACTATTAATGAAGTTACTGCGTGTGACGTCCCTAATGAGCTCTAATCTCCTGTGAGGACGTCGTGGTGTTTGTGCTCCAGGAATCATCCTCACATCAGTGCAGAGTATTGATCCTGATAATCACATTTATATTGTTTTATTACTGTGATTGTGTTTGCTCCATCATCGATCTCACAGATTTATTACGAGCTTCTTTCTTGGGTTCATGGTGCACAAACGGTGGTCCCGGACACCTGCAGCAGATCTGTGTGGAGCGTCAGGAAACTATTTGTTTCAAATTAAATCAAATCAACACGAGACAAACAGAAATGTCATATTTTCATCGTGGTTTTCACGTTTTTTGAGAATTGAGTGGTGCTCTCTCAATGGTTGGTCTTCTGCTAGAATGGTATAAGGGCACAAACAACTGTGTATCTCAATGACCAAACTCTTAAGTCTTTTCACAGCGGAAGTTTGACCCTTTAATTTCATATTCTTCAGAAATTCAGATACAACTGGCAAAACAAAAATTATTTTGATATTTAGCTGTTTTGGATCAAATGTTTGATAGAACTATAGAATTACAGAACTAAACTCAGGAACTAAACATTTCCTTTGCATATTTATTTTTTCACTTTCACTGCATTAAAAGCATTAAGATTAAAGGTCAATTAAAGGGACAACACATTTCAGCTGAAGTGCTTCGGTTGTAAAGCATCAGGAGCCCGACACCTGGTGCTGGGGACAAACCTGTCACCCTACCTTTGACCACTGACATGTGATCAGATAATCATTCAGTCCTATCAGTCCAAAATCTACTCAGTTCAGTTTTTTTTTAATTTTACTGAATGTGCTTGATTTAAAGAAATTCACTTTGGGTGTTCCTGATATATCACATTCACAAAGAACATGAGGTCACTGTGAACTTCACCTTTGCCTATACGACCACAAAAATCTCTATCAGTTCAATTCTGAGTCAAAGTTAACATTTGCATCGAACTTGAAGAGAATCCCTGAGATATTGTGTTCACGAAGCACAAAACGTGTCTTATGAGAGAATTACTCTGAACTTGTTACTGATCTAACAAAGAAACAGTCCCCAGCCTTTGTAGCATCAGTGGGTTAACTTGAATATTTTACATCCGCTCTGTTGACACATGTACAACTGAGAGTGAAAATGTGCTCTGATCATTAGGGTGAACCAGGCTTTTAACCGTTTAACCGTATACAACCCAGGCGTCTCCTTCAACGTCGCCAAACAAGAGCTTTAGACGAAGCACACACAGAGCAGGGAGGCCAGAGGTGTTTTGCATCATTATGTACAGCTGTTTTATTTGTGATTTCCCCAAAACATCATCAGTATTTTACTACATACAATGCATGTAATCAAAGTACAATGGATCAACTTCAAAGAGAAGAGCAAAAAAGAAAAAAAGAGCAACACAAAAAACAGGCGGTGATTTTTAACCACAAAGAGAGACATTGGTTAAGGTACTGTATGTATTACACTATTTACTATGGTATTGGGCTATTGATGGTGCCATCAACAGCGATGCCATGGCAACTGTAAATGTTGAAAAGACGAGTTTCTGCTAGAAGCATGAGGTCTGGTGGGTTTACTGCAATGTGGTGTACATGGGTGAGGGTAAAGGTATCTTATCTTGGGACTCTACTTAGATAAACTTTGATTTGAAACATTTCTGATTTTGTTCTCCTAATGATGAGAGTAGGTCGTGCTGTGGGAGGCCACAGTCTGCTGCTGGATATTCTAGAAGTAATCAAAATCTTTCATTTTAAACTGTTGCATCAGCACGAATCAAAACGACTATATTTTTAGAAACCAGATAGGGTTTATGTTTCTGGGGGAAAAAAAGGAAAACAATCAAGGGGAATAAATAAAAAAACACCCAGCAGAGAAACACACAGACAACACCTCCCACGAGCACGCTACTGCTGACTCATACAACTGATACAACAATTTAAGAAATAACAAATGCGTGGCTATGAAGAGAGGAAAAAACAGCTACTAAAACTCAATGAAACTGTCACCAGTAATACGAGAGCGGATCGTCCTGTATTCTGCTTTAAAACCCCTGATATTGTCCCAAAATAAGGCTGTGGGTTCTAGGCACACCAAGGTACAACTGAGCTGAGCAATATGTGCATTTATGTTT